GAGTCATGCAGTTCCAACCCGGTAGCAGGAAAATGACAGTAGCGTTTAACTTTGTCAGTGAACGCATTACAAAATCACTGTCAAAGCGTTTAAATTCGATTCATAATTAAATTTCACGGGGTAAATTTTTAACAGGTAACTAGGCGTAGTATAGATCTGTAGGCACAAATTTAATCAAAATCGGTCTTTGTAAATCATTCACCGAGGTTGACCGCTCGAGAAGATATCATTAAACTCAGAACTATTTTCAAGGACTCAGGTAAGAGTACGAGTTTTTGAATCCAACCCAAGAACAAACGTCCTAGGCTACATCCCATGGTTTTTCTGTGATCGCAAGGAACGGACGAGAAATGCGTCATTTTAGGCCTATCGACGGACTTGAGGTCGGTGCCAGTCTAATCACAATAAAATTCCTATTAAATATTAAAATATTACCATAAATATTTAAATATATAAATAAATATTTAAATGTTAATTATGGTAATATTTTAATATTAATAGGAATTTTATTGTGATTAGACTGGCAAGATTTTTAAACAAATTCCTTCAGTTACTCACGTGCACCAACAGAATATTTGCAAATGAAACGTTTGCTGATGGAGACAGAGGGTTCCTCCATTCCACCAGCCACGTTCCACGCTCTGTGTTGTGCAGAGATGGTGGGCGATTGTCTGTGGGCTGATCTCTCATCTGAGGAGTACAGGGGCGCAAAAAGTCATCAGTCAGCGCCCGCGTTTTATTTCTAGAGATGAAAATAAAATCTAGATTCGTATGGCCCAATGGCAAATCTTTAATCTGCAAATACGTTCCTACCTATACGCGATTTTATTCAGGTGCTATACCAACATGCTACGGCCTGCTTGTAGGCCTATTACCAGCAACAAATACTTGTTATCAATATAAAAGGGCGCTGAGATGATATTTATACTACGAAGTATAGTTTAATTCTAATTTGACTAGTAATCTAGGTTTTTTTAATAACATAACAACCCTTATAATTAGCGTTTGTAATGTAATGGGTTATAACACACGAACTTCGCAACGCAAACATTTAAACCAGTAGAGTCAACGGTCGGATGAAATTAGACGTCGTTAAAGCGAATTTTCAACCACAAAGGCATGTGTCATGGACTGTTCGTAATTTCAAAAAAGGACTAACACATCATGTTAAGAAAGAATCTATCAACCACTGAATTCTACCTGGGTAAATAAATAACTTAACAACAAATGTTTTATCGTAATTATATTTAAAAATAACAGTAATACGATACTAATTTTAATATCCGTCTCTGAATGAGCCTATATTAAATATTTCGTGCCTAAAACTTAAATTTGAACGCTCTAACAACATCAATTAAAATCAGCAATGTCTCTGAATTTTTTTTTTTTGTGATGTGGTGGTGAAGCCTATCCCACTGCCATCTTCAGGATATTATTTAATAAATTTTTATGCTACGTATATTTAAGCTCAGGCCAATTTAAATATTGTTTCCAAGGTTTTACTTGAGATTGCAAACAGACAAAGAGATCGAAAGACAAAATCACTAAGCTCATAAGAATAACAGCGAAATAGAGCAAGGCCTAGATAAAACGAGGACAAATTACAGGAACCGAGACATGGGACAAAGCTTCAGAACGCGAAGACACAGACTTCACAGTCTGTTAAAAAAATTGCAAAGCCACGAATCAATTTAAAGAGGCGCTTGGACTCCTGAGTCAGGAACGGGTCAACACGTGGCCTACCGCGTACTAGACTGCTAGGTGATGGAGATAATGATAATGCTGACGACGAGAGGGGAGCGGATCAGAAATTGGCATGAGGTAACATTAAGTTACGGAATTCCGCAATTGAGGCACTCAAATGCATCTCATACTGTTCCTCAGTTCGCTGCCTAACCTAAAATAACCCTACACTAATTTAACCTAACCTAACCTAACCCTACACTAATTTAACCTAACCTAACCCTACACTAATTTAACCTAACCTAACCCTACACTAATTTAACCTAACCTAACCCTACACTAATTTAACCTAACCTAACCCTACACTAATTTAACCTAACCAAACCCTACACTAATTTAACCTAAACTTACATAACCAAACATAACCCCAGCCTAACCTAACCTAACCTAAGCTTAGCGTAACGAAACATAACCTAACGTGTAAACGCGTTCCAGGCAGTAACGTCGCTCCGGGAACGGACGCCAATTTCTGGAACAGCGCAGCTGCGGCCTCCAGCCACCACACGACCCCATGCAGTAGTTCATCATCAGGTCCCGGGACCCCGACGGGGTCCAGAGGTGACGAGTCCCCCAGTTATGACGAGCACCACCTTCACCATCACCACCAAGACGGCCTCGCCCCCCTCGAGGACGCCGGCACTCCCCCCGCCAGCGGACAGCAACCGGTCATCATAGCGCACTACCCCGGTGGCAGAACAGACACCTGTGTTCCCACCCAAGAGTACTGCACCAGTTCCACGTATTACACCACAGCGTCCGGGGTTCCCGTCAGAGTGGTTAAGAGACGCAACTGCGCGAACAAGAAGGAGCGTAAGAGGACTCAGAGCATCAACAACGCGTTCGCCGACCTCCGGGACTGCATCCCCAACGTCCCGGCGGACACGAAGCTTTCGAAGATAAAGACTCTGAGGCTGGCCACGTCGTACATCGGCTACCTGATGGGCGTGCTGGAGAGCGACGACCCCGTGGCCTGCGAGCCGAGCTGGTGCACACCGGGGGCGGCAGGAGGGCGAGCACGGGGTCGGCGGACTACGTCATGGCGGCGAACAGAGGCGCGGACAGGAGGTCAGCGGGAGAGGTGGTGAGTGCCAGCCACGTATAAATCACGTAGTGTAGAATCCAGGGTGCGCGAGGCGAGGACAAAAGGTAAGACGGTCCATTGGCCGGGATTGGAACAGCGCCCGCTCTTAATACAGGCGTCTTATAACCGGAGGGTATTTTCGTCCTCAAAGATTTAATACGGATCATAGGCGCGTTATTGGAGTCGGAAAACTGCGAGGACCCAGCACTGTCACGTCGGGTCCGACTCTCCGTGGAGTCGCTTCAGGCGAAGTTCGAACTGAAATGACCATAAAGACTTCTCAAATCTTTAGGCCTATGCTATTTTGTTGTAATTGGATTTTCTAGGCCTCTGGCATTGCCCCTATGATCTTCGCTGCCTCCATCTTTAAGGTCGATTACTCGCCGGCGTGATAGCCTTAGATCTCGCCCGAGTACCTGTTTCTTGAAGTATGTCTGAGTCCTCTATTTCCTATTCATGTAATGAAATATTATCGAGCGTTGAGCCGACGTTTCGACGAATTTCTCTGCTACACATGCTGATGCATTCCAAAATTTCAGATCTTAAAATTTTCTACTCCTATAGCAAACTTTTTGTATCCTGCTATCAAGTTAATGGGGGCGAAGACCACCAAATTAATATTCAATTTCTGGGTGGCTTCTCAAAACTGAAAACAAATTAATACGAAATTCTTTCCCGAAATTTCGTGTTCTAATCCGTGATCACTAAAAGCAGACGCATACTTTATTAAGTCTATGGGCATAACATATGAAAAAACTAGGAGAACGCCCCGTTACAAACAACGGTATATGTTTGTAATAGGTTTACAGTACCATGCTATACCATGAAGAAGGAAGACATTTTCTGCACAAATTAAATATTTATGTTGTTTTAAGTGAGGATTTGTCAAAGGAACTAACTGACTGACATGTTAACTTGTTTGGATATCAATTTTAATTGCTATGAAATTTCAACAATTTTTTTATCCTAATTTATAACTCGGTATCCCGCGATTAAATGAAAATGGATTATCCTGGCCCGAGATTGCGATACCCTGACAAAGTTTTGAGATGTTTTAAGATAATAATCGGTCATTTAGCTAGCACGTCTAAGTAATTTTAACGTTTTGTAACTTATAAGAACTGCCACAAACGCCTAGACAGAGATTGTCTGTGGTTTTACTGACAAAGCAATTTTACGCCAAAGAAATGCTGACGCTGACCTCATCAGCGAACAAGTTCTAAACTCCTGGCAGACTTCGTTTGCAGAAGATCCTCCCTCTCCTTAGAAAAATGTCAATCTTTCATTTTATCTTAAATTATCCAAACTTCCCAGATTAATATATTATGCAAACATTACCGTATGTAAATCACGTATTGCAACGGCCCGTTGAAATACACGGGAAAGCACAGATATATTAGCCTAACACAGGCAACGTACAAGACGCACGTGTTTCCACGCAAAGTCCTGTCTTCCTCTAAAATATAAACGAAACAAAATTCAGAATTAAATTATTTCAGCGGAAAAGTAAAGATTGCTATCAACAAACGATGATTTATTTTATACCTATTACTAATGCAGTCACAGTTCATAAAACCGTACAAGACTGGATTTTGTTGGCCCAGGACAGGGTCCGGTGGAGGGCTTTGGTTAATTCGGTGATGAACCTTCGGGTTCCGTAAGCCATCTGGTTGGTTGGGTCCACTATTTGGGAAGCCTGAGGGGAAGAGACCTCTGGGGAGACCTAGACGTAGATGGGAGGATAATCTCAGGCGGGATCTATGGGAGATAGGAGTTGAAGGAGACTGGATTTTGTTGGCCCAGGACAGGGCTTTGGTTAGTTCGGTGATGAACCTTCGGGTTC